AAATGCTCAACTGAAATTGAGCTGTTCCTACCTCTGAGCCTTGCAGTGGACTATCTTTGTCCAAATCTTTTTCAGCCTTTCTGTCTTATCACAAATCTCATCTTCTCAGATGACACTGTTCCTTGACCAAAATCTTTGGTGTTGCTTCTTCCAAACTACTCCCATGGTCTCTACTTGGCTCATTCTTTCAAGAAACATTTACTGAGTTCCTACTCTATCCCAGGCACTGATTTAGTGCCTTTGCATTTTCTTCATCACCCGTAACACTATCAGAAGTTATCTTAGTTATTTACTTGTTTACTCTTGTTCTTCACTCCATAGAAGGTCAGCTGCCTTGATCACTGCTGAGTCCCCACTACCTAGGATCGTGCTGTTGCTTTGCCCAGCACTTAGAAGGAATGCAATAAATATTTGTTAAAGGAGTGAATGGATTCCTCAATGTTTAATGGCTGACTCTATTACATGTCTACGAAGTGCTTGGAATGAAACACTGTGATGTGAACTAATGGTTACTGTAGGCTCATGTTCTGGCAAGTTCCATGTAATGTACCTATACCTAAGCAGTACACAAAGAGCAAATTGGATCAAAGTGATTGTTCCCAAAGCCCTGGAATGCATACGTTATTGCCCATGAAAGCATTCATTCTAAACAATGCATGCATCATTCCATTCTAAGAAGACTGGAGTGATAACAGGATTGAAGTGAAACCTTAGTCATCCTACGTGGGCACTGACAGAGATAATGATGATTTTGTGGCCCCAAGCAGAAGTCAAACTCCAAAGGAAAAGATGTGTTCTCTGGGGGGAGGTGTAAAAAACCTGTTTCGGGGTATATACTATTTTCCTGTGACTGCCATAATAAATTATCACAAACTTCGTGGCTTAAAACAACAGAAATTTATTTTCTCACAGTTTTGGGTGCCAGAAATCAGAAACCAAGGTGGGAGCAGGCCGCCCTACCTCCAGAGGCTCAGGGGGGAGAACCTACTTCGCCTGTTCAAGCTCCTCCTGGCTGCTGCCATTCCTTGGCTCGGAGCCACATCGCTCCAATGTCTGCCTCCATCTTCACATCGCCTTCTTGTCTCTGTGAATGCTACTCTCTCTCTGCCTTCTCTTTAAAGGATACTTGCAGTGGCATTTAGGGCCACCTGGATAATCCTGGATAATCTCCCCATCTCAAGATCCTTAGCTTGGTCACGTCTGTAAAGACCTTCTTTCTAAGTAAGGTGACATTCACAGGTCCTGGGAGTTGGGTGTGGACATATCTTTGGCAGCCATCATCAGGCCACCACAGGGTACTCTGGATAAAGTAAAAAAAATCCCAAAGTAATGGATTTATGTCAGACATGGCAGTTTTTAGTGGGGAAAAAAGCCTACTTAAACAATTTAGAGGAGAAGACTTTATAGAAAGGGATCCTTGCATGGAAGAGGTGATCACTAGCTAAATCAGATACAAGCCCCTCTGTGAAACAGAATATGGTTTATAAGGGCAAAACAGACCCATGATCTCACAGAAGTGAACCAGCTCTGGAGAAGCCCAGTCATGTCTGCAGCATTGGGCTAGAACTGACCCTAAATGGAGTAGGATGCTAGCTTTAGAATATTCAAAGTAAGTTACCTGGGGAAATAAGGAGACTAAAAGGTACACAACTAAATCTTCCCTCACCTGCTGCCTTAGAATTAATATATACATATACTAATTGTGAGACATCAGCACCTGGGGATATGCCTAATGTACCATATTTAATGGGTGTCTGTTTTACTTTATTTCTTTTGATGTTTTATGGCCTATCTTCTTGCAAAAGGTAGGTGGGTAGGGAGAATTGTTGTCAGCCTAACTAGTTGGGTAGCGAAGAAAATAATGAAGTTTCTGGGTGAGTGCTCCAGCCAATAGAAGTGTGAGGCTTTCAAAAGGATATTGAGTATTTCCTCCTGCTAGCTCCTCTGCCTAGTACAAGTGTTCTGAGTTTATAGTTATTGTTTTCTATAGTCTGAAGGTTTGTACCCCCTACATCTCCCCAAATTTATACATTGAAGCCTAAATCTCCAATGTTAAGGTATTTGGAGGTGAGGCCTTTGGGAGGTAATCAGGTCACGAGGATTCAGCCTTCATGAATGGGATTAATGCCCTTATAAGAGGGGACAGGAGAGAGAAGATCTCTCTGCCATGTGAGGATATGACAAAAAAACAGCCATCTGCAAACCAGGAAGACGGCCCTCACCAGACACCAGATCTGCTGGCATCTTGATCTTGGACTTCTCAGCCTCTAGAACTGAGAAATTAATTTCTGTTGTTTAAGCCACCCACTTTAAAGTACTCTGTTATAGCAACCTGAACGAACTAAGATCCTGCCCCATAAGGCTAATGCCAGTCCCTGTAGGAAAAATGTTCTATGTTGAACATGAGATTTTTCATTGTAAAATTTTCCCTTAGTCCTGCTTCTTTTGCCAACTAGCAGCAGGTTCCCAGCCTTTAACTGCCTCAGGCTAGCATCTAGCTGCAGGTATCCGAAGACCTTTAGTTTGTAGGATTAGTTTCTAGCCCAGTACTAATGGTGCTCGGAAGCATTTAGGAGCCTCACTCTCACCTTAGTGGGGTACCCTATCTTGCTGTTTTAAGCCTAATCTCTAGTCTTTGGAGTGACTTTCATTGGCCATAGTCTCCTGGTCCTGTCCCAACCCACCAAACAGGACCTCTACAGTAGGGCTGGTTTCATAAGTGTGTGACCTGGTTTGCCAGCGTCATTTCAAGGGCTTCCCACTTAGTTTAATGCTCTTTGGTTATCATTTTGAAATTCAAAATAATTTCCCCTTGAACTTGTGTTTCGTAAGCAAAGTCCAATGGGATTCCAAAGGGACAATGGAGCCTACATGTTACACATGCATGTGAACAGATGGGATATGCACCACAGGTGTTTGCCATTCTGTGCCATCGCATTCTCATGAACGTTCCTGATGCCCCATCGGGAGCACAGAATTGCAATGGACCCGTGCTGTGTAGGTGTAAGAACGAATGAGTGGGCAGAGGGGGGAATCATGCTTTCCTTTTGAACTAGAACGTGCTTCAAATGCAGAAAGTAAGCAATGGCATTCAAAGAAACACAAATGACCAAGAAACCCTGTCATATCCTTTCTTACTCATATTACTTTCCTTTATTAGCCAACAAATTACTCTAAAAATGACATAGAAGGAAAAGAAAAAATAGGACAACCCAGAGTTCCTTTTCCTTTTAGTCCTTCCTCAATCAGTGGTCAGCTAAAGGCAGAGAGTGCTGGAGAACAGGTGCATGTTACGAAGTGAAATAAAAAGTCAAGTCAGTTGTGTGCAGCAAAACTAACTTAATATTCTGGTAAGAATGAAACACATATGCACATATGAGCTGTGAAATGCAAATTGTGCAATTTTGGTGATTCTGCACGTGAGTTAAATACTCTTATAGTTGCATTTAAAAATGTCATTGCACAACATAAAGATGAACTATAAAAATCATGCTAATAATTTAAACTGAATTTTTCTTTACTGGGAATGACATTAAGTAGCAAACAAAAAATACCATGAGAAGTTGAAAGACCTTGGAAGAAAGGAAAAAGCTTTACATATTGGTACCTTTCGTGGCACTTTTCCCCTGCTTTTTGAACAACATGCCCCGCAAATTACGTAGCCTGCCCTTCTCCTGAGTGCCAGTATGGGGCAGAGCAGACTTGCTTTTCCTGCATACTTTACACTGTGGGATTTGTGAGCAGCGGCTGCTCCCTGGGGGCTCATCTCTTCGCTCTCAACCACCTTCCATTTTATTAACAAACACACACACACACACACACACACACACACACAACACACAGAAGCACCTCAACGCCCATCAGTGGGATTAAGACTTGGCCCTCCATAAAGTCTAACCTGAATCACGTTCTGTTTCAGGGACCTCAGATACTTCAGATTCGTCAGGTAACAAGGACCCTCTGGTCTCCTCGGATACCTCAGGTGGCTCAGACTCATCGTGAACTTCAGACTCCTCACCTTCACTCTCCTCTTCAGCCTCATCAGGCTCTTCAGCTTCTAGAAAAAATTAGAAGAAATGAATTATCATTCAATTTAAGTCAATGCATATTTATTGGGTGCCAATAGTGCTGAGGCCAAAACGAAGAATAAGGCATGGTCCCTGCCCTCCTGGAGTATGTGGTTTAATGGGACAGATAAATTATCTCTATATTATATCTATTAAAATGTAGTGGTAAAGGATGATAGTCATCTGCTCAGAGTGCTATGTTAGTCCCAGCCTAAGGTACCCAAGTCATTTAAAAGAGGAAATATTGATTGATAGCAGTTCTAAATATTCTAGCAGTAAAAAACTGGAAACAGCCTGATGTCCATTTAATAAGGGAATGACTAGATTTGCACTGTTCAAGATAGTAGCCACTAGCTGCATGTGGCTATTGAGCACTTGAAATGAGGCTAGTCCAGATCGAGATATACTGTAGGTATAATATATACAATGAATTTCAAAGATTTAGTATGGAAAACTGAATGTAAAATACGTGGCTACTAGAAAATTTAAAGTTACGTGTGTGGCTTACATTTCTATTGGGCTAGACTATGTATATAATGGTGGATTTTCTTTCTTTCTTTTATTTTTTTAGAGACAGGGTCTCTTTCTGTCACCCAGGCTGGAGTGCAGTGGTGCAATCATAGTTCACTGCAGCAGCCTCAAGTTCCTGCTCTCAGGCTATCCTCCCACCTCAGCCTTCTGAGTAGCTGGGGCTAAACACATGTGCCACCATGCCTGGCTAATTTTAAAAATTTTTTCTAGAGATGGGGTCTTGCTATGTTGCCCAGGTTGGTCTTGAACTCCTGGCCTCAAACAATCCTCCCACCTTGGCCTCCTGAGTTTCTTACAGGAGTGAGGATTTTCTTATAGCTAATTAAAAATAATAAATAATGTAGAATGTGGATCAACATGTTGAATATAAATTTAAAAAGTATAATTCTGAGTTTTATATAGTTGTTGGTGACCACTAAGTGGATATGTGTTTGGAAGTCTTTCAGGAAGAAAATGGCATGAATGGTGGTGTCCAAAAAGCCATCTCCCTCATTTCCTCTCATACACTTATGAAATTGACATAATATTCTTATAAAAATGGAAAACAAGATACTCTCTATGCAAAAAGGATATGAAAAAATAAATGAGCTTGTTTTCTGGATTCTCGTGGGAATTTTTTTCCTCAATGAATACCTCCAAGAATCACTTTCTAGTGGTGTGACATACTTCTGGCATCTGAATTTTAATCTAAATCTGGATGATTATGCACCAAGAGAAAAGCATCTTCAAGTATTCTTATGTGTAGGTCTAAATGAGGACTAAGTGGATGTGGTTTCCAAGTAACTTGGAATGTGGTGAATCCTTCTATGTTAGGTGGAGGATTTTATGGTAATATACACAAGGATGAAGCAGCATCTGCTAAATCCCACTATGGCGTGGGACGAAGTTATGTGCTCTACAGAAGGAACTTAAAACTTATTTCAACTGCATATCTCTTACAGTAAAAAAAATGTATCGTATACCTCCAATATGTGTATATAGGTTGTATTATTATCCGTATCAGGTATATTATAAAACATATAAAAAGAATTTATATAATGATGCAAAAAAATGTAAAAAGCTCAAATCCTTTTTTCTAGAGCCCTAATGGATAATCTGTGTATCAAATAAGTCAACAATGGATTGAAAAGTATTCTAAGATCCTTAAACTTTCTGAGATTTTGACTGTTAATTATGAGTTATACTAGTTATCTACTGATTCATAATAAATAACCCAAAAACTTAGTGGTAAAGCAACAATAATCACATATTATCCTTGCAGTTTCTGTGGGTCAGGAATTTGGGAATGGCTTAGCTGGATGGTTCTGGCTCAGGGTCTCTCATGAAGTTGTAGTGGAGATCTCGATCAGGTCTGCAGTCATCTGAAGGTGCGACTAGGGCTAGAGTATCCACTTCCAAGGTGGATCACTCAAAGCTGGAACTGAGGTGCTTGGGGAGCAGAGAAAAGCTATTACCATTGTGTCCTGCCCAAAGTCCTGACCCAAAGAATCATGTGCGTGATAAAACTGGTGGTTGTTTTACACTGTGAAGTTTTGGGGTGGCTTGTTGCACAGTGTGGAAAACTGAAACAGACACCCTGTACTCTTTTGAGCCATGGACTCCTTTGGCAGTACAGTGAAACTTATGGACCCCTTCTCAGAATAATGTTTTCAAATTCATAAAATATGTAAGAAACCAATTATGTTGACATACAGTTATCAATACATAAAAAATTTTGTGCTATAGGAAGTTTGTGCACTTTCACTAATGTATTAAAGAACAAGAACTAGCAGCTGGTTTAATAACTACCATCATTTTGGAACAGTGATAAGCATAAACAAGATATATAAAACTATAATGTGATATGAAAATATCTTCATTCCTATTGGTGACAAAGTCAAGGTATTGCTGATACTATTGTGGTTTGCTGTCTATATTAATTACCTGTTGAAGGAAATACTAAATTTCAATTAAAGGTTAGTGAAAATAAATTTGGAGTTATTTTCCCATTAAGTTCACAGACTCCTGAATTTTACGCAAGGATCCCAGGTTGAGAACTCCAGTCTTAAAAGAAACAGTTAGAGTAAGTTCTTCTATAATGGAGATAAAAGTTCAAATGAAAAGACAATGGGTGTGTAGTAAGAGTTTGGCTACTTTCTCAGCTCCTGCAGGATCCTTCCAATAAAAGTAATTCCAACAGCTAATTCTTGTCAGCCGTGACAAGAGCAACCATTTAGAGACAAATTGGGTGTGCTATTCTGCTGTGTATCCCTCATAGAGGGGCATGAGTGGGTATCTGTAGTAGGTATCTGTATTGGGATTGTTTTGCCTGTGAATCCACTACTCCAGTGGCCATATGATTTATTATCCCAATTGGAACACCGTGACAATAAAAGGGAGTACTAAAAATACTTTAGGACCAGAGGCATAAACCTGGCCTCTCATGGGCAAACTGGGAAATGTTATAATGCACTTGAGATACTGCAATTGCTCGCAGTAACAATACAGTGACACATCATGAGCCATAGCAATCTGTGTTTGCCTTTTGTTTTCACATTCATAGCTTCCAGTAGCCTTTGATTTTCTTCTTCTAGTCTCAATGCCTCTTCTGTGGCTTTTCTGAAATGAAAAGGTTCAAAATTTAATTATCTTTGGAAATACAAACATCCCACAATATTGCAGGAGTAAATGCTTATAGTGGTAAAAGTAAAGAGTAAATTGTTTATAATATTCGTCACAGTTTTTACTTTACAATGTAAATTTTTAAATTACTCTTGTTGAGACCAGTTAATTTTTACAACTATTTTTTTGGTAAGGAAAACCGAAATGTTATACTTTGAAAAACTGTGGTTGTTAATCAGGAAAGCTGTCAAAATTAATAAGGGATTACCTAATCCTAAACTGAAGAGGCAACGGGAGAATTCGTAGCATTTTTCCTTAAGTTAGGCAGGAAATGCTCACAATATAATGTTAAGTGAAAAAGTAGAATATAAAACTGTATTTATAGGTTGGGTACAGTGGCTCA